CATTGTTCAAACCCATTTTCATTCTCAGACTCAACCATTCCATTATCTGTAATTTTGATTTCGTACAAATACCCTAGATTGAATTGTCCATTAGTATTCCCACCTTTAGCGGATCGTAAATACCACTGAAATGATTCCTCGTCATCTTTTGCGGTCCCGATTCCATTTTGATAACAATATCCGATATTACATTGTGCTAAATTATTTCCACTTTCAGCAGACCTCAAATACCAATGGAAAGCTTTTTCCTCATTTTTGATGGTTCCGATTCCATTTTGGTAGCAATAACCGACGTTACATTGACCATCACGATTACCGCCTTCTGCTGACTTCAAATACCACCGAAATGCTTTTTCATAATTTATTGTGGTCCCGATTCCATTTTGATAGCAACATCCAAGCATATTCTGTCCGTTGCTATCTCCACCTTTGGCAGATTTCAGGTACCAACAAAATGCTTTGTGTTCATCTCTCGCAACCTCGATTCCATTTTGGTAATAATATCCCACTTTACGCTGCCCGGCACTGTATCCACCTTTAGCGGATTTCAAATACCAATGAAACGCTTTCTTGCTATCTTTCATTGTTCCAATTCCATTTTCATAATAATACGCAAGGTTAAATTGGCCAACTTTATTTCCGCATTTTGCGGATTTCTGATTCCATCGGAATGCTTGGTCATTATCCTTTTCGGTACCGATGCTAAAATAATAACATTCGCCAACCTTAAATTGCCCATCAGTATTACCGCCTTCGGCAGATTTCAAATACCAGCTGAAGGCTTTCTCAAAATTATTCATGACCCTATTTTTTTCAGAACTGCTTTCAGGATATTTCATTTTATCATTCTTAACTCCAATTCCATTTTCATAACAATATCCCAGATTAAATTGACCATCGACGTTTTTTCCTTCGGCTGATTTCAAGTAACATTTGAATGCCTTTTCTCCATCCTTGGATGTTCCGATTCCATATTGATAGCAACAACCAAGCATATTTTGTCCATTACTGTCGCCCCCTTCGGATGATTTTAGGTACCATTCAAACGCTTTCTCAACATCTTTTATTGTTCCAATTCCATTTTGATAGAAATAACCAACTCTATACTGTCCTTGATGATTTCCACCTTCTGCAGATTTTAAATACCACTGAAATGATTGGTTAATGTCTTTCATAGTCCCAATTCCATTATGATAAAAATATCCGAGTTTATTTTGTCCATCGGGATCTCCACCTTCGGCAGACTTATGGTACCAGTGAAATGCATTTTCATTACTTTTAGCGGTTCCGATCCCGTCTTCATAACAAATTCCGATGTGGTATTGTCCACGATGATTGCCGCCCTTTCCAGATTTAAGGTACCATTGAAATGCTTTGGCGTCATCTCTGGTAATTCCGATTCCATTTCGATAACAACGTCCGACATTAAGTTGTCCCACGTGGTTTCCGCCATTTGCAGAATTCAAGTAGTACTGGAACGCTCGCTTATAATCTTTTCGTGTTCCAATCCCATGTTCGTAGCAGTATCCGAGATTAACCAGCCCCAGATAGTTTCCATTTTCAGCGGATTTAGAATACCAATAAAATGCCTTTTCGTTATCTTTAACGGTTCCAACACCATGCTGATAACACCACCCAAGATTACATTGTCCTTTGCTATCACCACATTGTGCTGATTGCAAGTACCAATGAAATGCCTTTCCGTCGTTTTTTACCGTTCCAATTCCTTCTAAACAAAAAGTCCCGAGAATAGTCTGTCCAAAACGATTTCCATTTTCAGCAGATTTCAAGTACGATCGAAATGATTTGTCGTAATCCAATGTAGTTCCTATTCCATATTGATAACAATACCCAAGAATGTACTGCCCTAAATGGTTGTCACCTTCGGCAGATTTCAAATAATATTGAAATGCTTTTTCGTCATCTCTTGCGACACCAATCCCGTTTCGATAACAATATCCAACCTTATTTTGTGCGACACCATCACCATTTTCTGTCCCTTTCAAATAACAATGAAATGCTTTTTGATCATCCTTCGTGGTTCCAATCCCGTATTGATAAAAATATCCTAATCTGTGTATCGCATGCCGATTTCCGCCTTCGGAAGATTTCAGATACCATTTAAATGATTTTTCGAAATCCTTTTCCGTACCAATTCCATGCTCATAACAGTATCCGGTCTTAAATTGACCGATAATACTTCCATTTTCTGCGGATTTTAAATACCATTTAAACGCTTTCTTGTGGTTTTTTGAAGTACCGAATCCATTTTGATAGCAATACCCAAGGCCACATTGCCCATTAAAATCTCCACCTTCGGCAGAATTTGAATACCATTTAAATGCTTCCTTTTCATCTTTTACTGTTCCGATCCCGTTTAGATAACAAGATCCAAGGAGATGTTGTCCTTGATGATTCCCACCTTCTGCTGATCTTAAATACCAAGAAAACGCTTGTTTGTCATCCTTTGCGGTTCCGATTCCTTTTTGATAGCAGTAGCCAAGATTGCTCTGCTCTAAATGATTTCCACCTTCAGCTGATGTTAAGTATCGTTCAAACTTTTTCGCATTGTCTTCTGGGTTTATTTCGGAATCACTCTCCACCTCTTCGTTCGCGTCGCATTGACATTCATTCGATTCGATTAATTCTTCACTGTCATCTTTTCCAAATCGGTAATATTTACTATGCTCCATGATTAGCTGTACTCATTGAGGATAGGGAAAAGCACATAGTACAGTAAACATTTCATTCGTTATGTTTTTTATAAAAAGTCGAATTGTAAGAGAGTTAAAGTCGAATTTATAATTTAGGTAATTTATATATATACTGTACAGTAGAATAATACGCGTGGTTCGGGGTAATACGGATTTACAGTTGATACCCTGATCATATGTTTCTCTTTAAGCAATGAGTCTCTTGTGAAACCAGTACGTGTGAACTAAACCGAGTACAGTAATACGATACTACGTATGAATTACATATCTATGCTTATCTTCCCAAATGGTGTGACTAAATTAGACATCGTGCCGTAGTTACTTTTACCTATGATCCTACCTTATTTAACCTGAAGTCGATTCCACACAATGTTTAGGTTTAAACTATAAAATTTAAGAACATTCTCGCTTATACATAAATAGTACCCGAGCTTTTAATACAATAATCACACAAAGACAAATGAGTATGCATATACGGTATATGTTAGGCATGACTTTGAAAAAAAATAAACAATAACTTTATTAAAAATTCATACAATAAAAATATGATTTCGGTTAGCATTGATTTATTTTTAAAAAAATAGTATCATCATCACTTATTTCGATTGTTCATTTAATCACGCCAATGGAATCGAGTCATTATCCATATTCCCAAAACGTTTTATTAAACATCTAGATTATTGATAAATTGTAAATAATATTATTTTTACTAAATTTCAAATTATTAAATTAATTTAAAATTTTTTAAAAAAAACGTTTATTTTTATTATTTTACTATGCAAATAAAAAATAAAATTTTTTTTTTCAAATTTCAAATGAAGCGGTCGCCAATTAAATACTTTAATACAAGATTAATTAGAATTTTAAATAATTAAAAAAATATATATTTTTTTATGTATCGGTATTTGTAAAAAATTAAAATAAAGAATATATTTTTTTTTTATAAATTAAAATTTTTGAAAGAAAAAATTTAGTGTTTTAGATTTTGTATTCGTATTTTTAATTACTTTTCATATCAAAAAATATATATATCTACGCTTAAAAAAATCAAATTTTAATAATAAAAAAAATTAAAAAAATTCCATTGGTTAGATAATAAAAAATTTTTTTAAAAAAATTATTAATGCTATATAAAACGATATTTAAATAAGTTATTTGATATTTCAAAAATTTAAAAAAATTATTTTTAATCTTCAATTACACGTACTGTATATTTTTATATAAGTTTTATATCATCAAAGATTTTAAAAATTTTTTAAAAATAATTTTAATTTATTTTTTGAATTTATTTTTAAAATTATATATTAATTCGAATTAATAAAAAATCATTTCTATATGCATTTTCAAAAATAATAAAAATTGATTTATAGTATTTAAAATAAAAATAATCATGGTTTTTAATAGAATTAGACGTAATAAGATTGCCAAGTTATTTAAAAAAAAATCGAAAAATGAATATAAAAATTGTACAAGTAAAAGAATAAATATCCGTAAAAATATTTATATATACGTACATTTTATCTTTATTATTGTTATTTTTTTTGTCTTGCTATTTAAATGACTTTATCGTAAAATTTTGATGAGATTGTAATGAGAAAAAAATGTTGAGTAATAGGAGATAAAAATTTTTTTTATAAAATAAGCATTAAAAAACAAACAATAAATTTTTTAATACAAAATGAAGTATTTAATTAAGAATTTTTATACGGTAAGAAAATTAATCAAATATGAACATAAATAATAACCGCTCTATTTACAGTAAGTACAAAATTGTCGATTTTTTTTTATTTAATAACTTTGTTCAAATTCTTTTGTTATAACAATAATTATCTTTCAATTCTTTGTGCTTTCCATTTTATATAGGAATAAATGGACTGCGTAGCTTTTCGAACTTATGTAATATTAGGATCAGAATTCTTAATATCCATATACTGTATATGTATAATTGATATTAACAAAGTTTTATAATTTTAATATATTATATCGTCAAAGTAAAAGTGAGGTGTTTAAACTTGCTAACACGTATTAATGCCGTAATAATCTTCAAAAATTTTTATTAAAATCTAAACAAAGGGCGATTTTTCTTTCTAAGTAAACTGGTTTAAAATCATAGCTGACAATTGTTTTTTTAGATTCACGCAAATTGCGGTTAATGAAATAAGACAAATTTAAGAAACACTGTTCATTAATATAATATCCTTAAGCGTCGATAAATAAAGAAAGTCAAATATTTAATACAATATCCTTAAGTGTCGATAAATAATGAAAAGCAAATATTTAATACAATTAAACGAAATGGCACTCGACTTCTAGTTCAATTACGATCGACTTTAATTCAGACAAATCACGATTATTATCATCGTCGAGTGTAATTGTCCAATGACTGAATGGTGTCGGAGTAAAATAAACTGATTTATCGAATACTGCCTCTACCAAGGGGCTTTCATCATTTATTTTATATCTAAACTTCAGTCTTCCTGTATGTTCTGCTTCAAATACATATTTGTTGCCATCACAATCCTTGTCATAAAACAGGCCTGTGTTGCTGATCCATAAACTAATCGTATCATTCTCATTTTCACTTCCAATCCCTCTCAAGAATACCTTGAATTTGTGAAGTCTAACACGTTCACTTTTCTGAAATTCGTTGTGATCTAATGGAATCTCGTATGTAATAGATTTATCAACTTTAAATTTCTCGACAAGGTTTTTAGGAAGGATAAATGGATGCTTTGAAGATTGTACAGGATTTCGATATTTGTAGTAGACATTTTCTAGGTCTCCAAAAATATCTGCTTGATCCCTCATGTGTTCGGGAATAGTTTTCATAACTGAAAGTGTAATTTCGGACTCACAAAGCGACCAATAGTGATATGCACAACGATACTTTTCCAAATATGTCATCATCCAGCACTTGATATTGATAAGCTCTTCAAATAAAAATAGCTCAATCTCTTCGTAATCATCTTTTTTTGATTCACATGTATTGATCGCGTTCTGAAGTCCCTTTTTATTAATTTCAGATATTTGCACTTGATGGTTGATTTTGGATATCTCGTTACGACTTTCGCGTTCTTCGATATTAGCTTTAATAAATGCTTCGATGAAAATAAAAAGATCGTCTAATTTATCTAAATATTCATTTGATCCTTTAATTTTTTGTTCGATAGGCTAGTAAAAATAACACATAATTCGTCTTTAATTAGAAAACGCAAAGTAATATGTATATAAAGAAGGATTAATTAATATATTTACGTATTTAAGCAGCTCATTCATGCTTTTCTTTATCAATCTCCATTCGACTTTTGTCAAAATTCCCCTTTGATCCATATTATTGAGTCTGCAAGATTTATCAATCTATTAAGACTTTCTCGTTTTGTAAGGTGACTTATACTGCAAATAAATGATAACCTACCGCTCTGCAAGCTCATCAACGTCTAAAGATTCAATATTTTCGCGTCTCTTTTCATCCTTATCATTCAGAGATTTGTAATCTTCATAATTTTTTTTTAATTCGCCTTGGATTTTAACTATTTTCTGGACTTTGCTGTCTATATCACCGGCCTGTTTAAGTGCTTCATTTTCGGATACATCGCCTATAACATTAACTACCTTTTCAAAATTATCAGCAACATCCAAAACTTCTTTTATTGATATGTATGTCTTTTGAATATTTTCGACAAAGGCAACGATGCCACCAGGTTGAGTGACAATTTTGCCAACACTTAAAGTCAAGTCAAAGATGGCAAATAACATTTGTTTGCGTACTTCGAGTTCCTTATTTTCTTTCCACTCTTCAATTCCTGCACGGAATTCTTCTGATGCCTTTAATACTGCATTTTTTTGATCCTATATAATTAAAAAAATTATTATTATTATGAATATGTTAATTCGTTTTTACAATTAATCAAATAGATCGTGTTTAAATTACCACTAAATTTTTTTTCATTGTTTTCATTACACCATCTGCATTTTTATGACGGCGAACTGCATTTTCTTTTAAATACTTGTGCATATCGGTCATTGCACGACAATTTTCAAGCAATCTAGTCAACTCTTCTCGTTTTCCTAAAATTTCATCTTTTTTGTTCATAATTTTGTCATAATTATCTCCGTATGATTTTGCGACATTCATGAAAACTTCAAAATGATTTTTGTAGAATTTCATGTCAAGTAATGGGACGAACAGCATTTCGTTTTTTTTTCTTTCCTCTAGAATATTTAGTTGCATAAGTAATGGATATACCTGTTTATACAACTCTCTTACTTTCTCATGCGACCCTGACTCATTATCTGTCTCTTTCGTCTCTCCAATTTCCGATTTGGTTATTTCAACTATCCAAGTGAGAATTGATTTTGTAACATTACGGTCGTCATAAAATAAAGCACTGGCAATTTGCAGCGAATATCTCAGTACTTTGACGAAAGGTTTTTTTTCAAGAATTATGCTATCAAATGTAGGGATATCTCTGAACTCGCCGCTAGGTAGGGAAAGCAATCGACCTTTGTATTGGTTGTAAATTTGAAATTCGAATTGACGATCGTCGCTTGTAACGATATCAAACTTCGATGGCATTTCCATAGCGTATGCCACCAATCGAAAGGTCTTATCTCCTTTGCAGTCAATTTTAATTTTGCATCCTGGCTTGATTTCAATTCTCCTTGCAGCTATCAATATGACGCTACCATTTTCCAAAGACGGAATTTCTAAGTCATCCGAAAGCTGAACTACGTCGCCGTAAATACGAATAATTCGAGCTTTTGTTTCAATGGTATCATCCTTAAAATATTTATCAAGTGTCGCAAGTTTTTTAAGGTCAACAACCAGATCGCTTTCTAAAATCTTTTTTATCGAGAAATAGAATATATCAGATTTACTCGTTTGATGAAAATAAAACCTGCATGTATTTTACAGTATCATACTTGTACAGACGTCCGCAACGATTCTGGCTTAGGCTCTACTTTAAAAAACTTTAGCACATCATCATATAACTTTTTCCATTCGCACATGCCATTTGATTCTTTTAATCTATATGTTTCAGACATTGTAACCTTTGAAAGAATATTGATGATGGATGCGCTTGCACCTTCACACTTTTTATGCCTTTTTATGCTAATAAGTAAAAAAGGTTATTTGTCCTACTTATTGATGTGGGCGCATATCCTCTAATTATAACCAGGCATAAACGCCCATGATGTGCGCAATCTATTTAAATACTGCGCAGTTGATTGTACAGCGCAAAATATAATATTTGCCATCGGCTACAGTAATAAATTTATCCGATATGTTTGATACTCTCCCGTGTGAACAATACGTATACATTACAAGCGAGATCAAAGACTGATTGGAATTGGTATAATAGAAAACCTGGTAGGGGTATGGTGTATTTTTTCACCATCGAAATTAATATTATCACTTTTTACGCTATAATGAAAGTAATGAGTAGTTTGAATTTAATCTTACGATCAACTATTTATTTTATTTAGAGAGCAAGTACAAAATCTATTAATGTTTTTTCGAGGAATTATAATTATAACTAAACAACACAAAACTACAGTATTTGTTACTCTCGCATTGAGATCGAATGACAGACATAATGTTCATTTTTTTTATCATATTTATTTTGCATATTAAAGGTTTATAAGATTTTTAAAATTAAAATATTCGAAATTTTGTTAAGAAAAGAGATTATGATCTAAAACTTAAATGATATTGTATAAAAAATTGGATGAAAAGATTTTTAATTAAAAATAATTCAGCAATCAAATCCATTAAATAAACAATTTGATCTTTCAATCGTAATTCCTTTTTCAAATCATTATTTTGTTTAATGAGAAACACCAATTTCGTAAAAAATACAATTGTTGTTTTTGTCACGGGAAGAAAATAGTTAGTCGCGATTGCGTAAGCCTCGCCTATAGTATATTGAGAATAATGTACTGTAAATAATGCGCATAATTAGGATAATTAGGATATTAGATAACATATACAGTATAAAAAGGATATTAATCCCATGTAAAACAAAGGAATTTATCCAAAAAAGTCTAAATAAAATTGATTCTTGCCTTTGTCCATAAAACCGCGTTTTTTCTCTTCGTTCTCCTGTTTCGCAATCGTCATCCTGTTACCTGACTGTGATAAACTCGACCAAATTATCGCGCCTCTAGCGACTTACCTGACCTAGCGGCAAATCAGCATGTAAGTGAGATGATTACCTGCGGTGTGACCTATCACAGCGTGGCACTTGAAGAAACGACAGAATCGCCGTAGTGCCCGCGACAATACTGTACGTATACTGTATATGTAAAAATCATGCTTTTTTCAAATAAATTAAATATAGAGTACAGTACGTATAACAGCATGTACTGTGCGACAATAAAAAATGAACACGGCATACAGTATACTTTTTAACGCACCTAGTTGCAGTATCAAATATTAATCGAAACGAAATATTTTAATATTTATTACTCTTGTCAAAATTTGCTATATAGAATTAATGTCATTCGAATACTATAAAAAATTATCTGATACGGGAGATTCTGATGGCACATTTCAGGTTGGTGCTTGTTATGATTATGGAATCGGAGTTGAGAAGGACGAACATAAAGCATTCGAATATTATCAAATGTCTGCCAAGATGGGTCATATAAAAGGAACATATAATGTTGGATGTTGTTATGATGAAGGAATAGGAGTTAAAAAGGATGAAAATAAGGCATTCGAATATTATCAAAAATCAGGTGAGATGGGTTATGCATTTGGAACATATAATGTTGGCTATTGTTATCAAAATGGAATATGAGTTAAAAAGGATGAACAGAAGGCATTCGAATATTATCAAAAATCAGATGAGATGGGTGATGCAATTGGAACAAATAATGTTGGCTATTGTTATCAAAATGGAATAGGAGTTAAAAAGGATGAACAGAAGGCATTCGAATATTATCAAAAATCAGCTGAGATGGATTATGCATTAGGAACAAATAATGTTGGACATTGTTATCAAAATGGAATAGGAGTTAAAAAGGATGAACAGAAGGCATTCGAATATTATCATAAATCAGCTGAGATGGGTAATGCATTAGGAACATGTAATGTTGGCCATTGCTATCGAAATGGAATAGGAGTTAAAAAGGATGAACAGAAGGCATTCAAATATTATCTAAAATCAGCAGAGATGGGTAATGCATTTGGAACATATAATGTTAGCTATTGTTATCAAAATGGAATAGGAGTTAAAAAGGATGAACAGAAGGCATTCGAATATTCTCAAAAATCAGCTGAGATGGGTAATGCAATAGGAACATATGATGTTGGCTATTGTTATCGAAATGGAATAGGAGTTAAAAAGGATGAACAGAAGGCATTCAAATATTATCTAAAATCATCTGAGATGGGTTATGAAAAGGGAACAAATAATGTTGGCTATTGTTATCGAAATGGAATAGGAGTTAAAAAGGATGAACAGAAGGCATTCGAATATTGTCAAAAATCAGCCGAGATGGGTAATGCATTGGGAACATATAATGTTGGCTATTGTTATCGAAATGGAATAGGAGTTAAAAGGGATGAACAGAAGGCATTCGAATATCATCAAAAATCAGCTGAGATGGGTAATGCAAGGGGGACATATGATGTGGGCTTTTGTTATGAATATGGAATTGGAGTTAAAAAGGATGAACATAAGACATTCGAATATTATCTAAAATCAGCTGAAATGGGTTATGTTGATGGAATGTTTGCGGTTGCTGGATTTTACAGAAACGGAATAGGAGTTACGCGGAACTTACAAATGGCTACATACTGGTTTCAAATGTAAGTATACTATTTTAAATATTATTGGATGTAATAATTAACAACAATTTGAAAACAATTAGGGAAAGAATGAAATTGTTAGGTAAATATAGATATAGTAACGTTTCTAATTTTCTTTGATGTTTTCTATTAAAGTCTAATACATCTCCTATTTAGCTTCAAATGAGTCGAAATTTAATGACTCTGATATTAATGATGAACTTAAAAAAATGCTTGCCGAAAGCAATTACCCATTACTTTGGATTCTTTATAAAGATTTTAAAAACATAAAAGAGAAAGGACAAGGAGGATTTGCAACCGTGTTTTGTGCCAACTGGAATGATAGATATGTTGCACTTAAATTACTTCATGGATCAAGAAACAACCATAAGGGATTTATAAAAGAGGTAATTTCGTTTGAATTAAATAAGTTTTAATATTAATTATTTAACTAAATTTTTTGCATTAAAGCTAAAAGCATACTGTGATATTGGTTATAAAAATCCAACATTTTTAAAATGCTATGGTGTGTCTAGAGATGACGTTTCCAAAGATTACATTCTTATTATGGATTATGTACCGATGGGTTCTTTGCGTGATAACCTTTATTCAGTAGCTCATACTAAATGGAAAGATAGGTTAAAATTGTTAATTT